CATGATGATTTTCGAAAAATTTACTCCTTTGAATTCCATCCCACAATATTTTTGGCTTCTAACATCCTCCTTTTCATCTTTGCCTTCAAATTTCTAGAACTAAATTCAGACGGGTACAGGACTCAAGACTTATGAAATGCAAAGTCAATGTATGGCTGTGACAAACCCCTCATCCTCAATTTTTGGCCTGTAATCGTCTGAATTTAGTTCTAGAAATTACAAAAACCTAAGAGCGACTGGAACAAGAAGCGGCACAAAAGAATGATTTGTCTGTCTTCCATCATCTCTTCCTCCTTCATCTTTTGACTGCCAGAGGTCTCATTCCGTCCGATTAAAATGTTGTACTTATTACGGAATTAAACAATGTTTTTGACAGATATTTTTTTCTTCTGCTAAGGAACTTTTTCTTTTTACAAAAATCTTGACAAGCTACTCCTTTCCAGTGCGAAAACTCGCATTTTTCCAGTGTTTTCATAGCTATTCAATGAAAGGTCTGTAAAGCCTCTGATTGTTGTACATACTAAGCCTTGTAGAATACATATTATATCTTACAGTAAATGGACTTCCAAATTTGAATAATTCTTTTCAAAACCACAATATTGTTCTCTTACACATGTGGAAGGGAGAACGTCTCAGCATTTGACATTTACGATTCAAAATAAACGGACTAGCGTGTGGAAATATATCGCGGACGTCTTTGTATCCATGAGTCAGTGTAGATGATTCAGATAAGCGTTTGAATCGCTCGAAAAGCGTTTGAGAGCAAAAGAGCTTCAATTTTCTTCCTCAAAAGGTTTCGTAAGACGCGATGAGTAACACTAAAGTTCCAATTAGTTTACCAGTGAAAGTACTTTGGCTAAATTCAAATTAAATATATTAATAGTTCTTCTAGTAAGCAAAATTATTCTAGAACATTCAAGTTACAAACTTTCATAGTCTCCTTATTTCTTTCTTTGTTCATCAGTCTGGCAATTAATGTCTAATAAACTTTGAAGATTTTGCACTAGTAATTTGTTTGATTGATCAATACCATAGATTATTAATCAATCCTAAATTCTCCATATTCTATCATTTCCCCTTGATTGATTCTCTGACATTTGGTGAACACTCTGCAAGTGAAATGTTGCATTCAGGAGAAAAATATAGTTGTCATTAAAAATATTCTTAGAGGTTTCTTTTTTTACTGCAGCATTCGTCAAGTTTCTGCTCTTTTTAGTACCAGTATTATGCAATAAGCAATGTGCAAGCTTCTAGGTTCCAACCAAAAAAATAAATAAAACAACAAGTTTTTATAAACCTAAGGTTCTGGAAGTTTCTGGAAGCTTTATGAAAGATCAGCTAATATCTCCGAAGAAGAGAAAGTCATTTACTTGCTGGATATATGTAATCGAGTGCGAATTCAAAAATTTGCATATCCTTCCCCCTAACAAGGGAAGCTGAAGTGAAAGCGAAATCGCATAATGTAAGGTAGGGAATCACCAGTTGGATAACCTGATATCAGTTGTTAATATATTGCGAATCATCCCAAGTAGCTATTTAGTCCTAGAATCGGCTGTGTCCCTTATTTTTTCTACAATAACTCCTCAAAAATCTGGACTTCCCCCCATTAAAAGCCATCCGGGCCCATATTAGACTTACGTAGCCCGGCAACACCAGCCTGTACGTGGCACTGACACTTTCATCTGCTCGACATAGAAAAAAACTCAACTTTCCCTCATTATTATCGTCTTCGAACTACGTTGCGTGTCTAGCTATGTAGCTATAGCAGCGTGCGGCGTGGGTCAGGTACGTCTGTTCACCAAATGGTCAGCTCTAACGTAGACATCTTACGTACTGGGGAGACGCAGCGCTTCGTCTGTTACGATATGCAAACATTCAGTGCGAATGGGGTGGAGTGAGTGACAACGAGCGAAAAGGTGAGCAGCAGCAGCAGCAGCTCAATGAGCTCTTCACTCTTCTTCCTACTCCACTTATTGCAGAGCTAAAGTTATCCCAAAATGAATAGTGAGGGATTTAGCCCCCAATATGCTAAATCGCGCCATCTGTTGCTACTTAGGTGCTGCCCTAATGAGGAGGGAGGGGAGAGAGCACAGCTGGTTGGTCCTACGACCCAAAATCCTCATCCAGATAGTGCTTATCTGGTTGCCCTGACGAATTTTCTTTAGCTCCTTCCCATTATATTCCTCAATGTCTTTATGGTCGTTACTATTCATTTTTGCCTTTACAAGCAAGCGTGCAGGCCTATAGAGTGTAGGGACTCTACCATCTTCTGACTACAACCTCGTTAGCGGGCTAAATAAGGCGCTTTGCGTTCAGATGAATTCCACTCAAATTGGATTTTAAGTAATCAGAAATATCATAAACAACATGTTACAAATATGTATGAATTTACTGCTCACTTCTTCGATCTGTTTTTCGAGATTTTCTGAATAATTTCAATAAAGGTGGGAATTCTATTTAATCTTTTGATCTTATTTAATGCGTTAAATTGGTGTTCAATTTCATCCCAATAAGAATTGAAATTTAATTAAAGACAGATTTTGCGTCTTCTGTCGAAAATGATTAAAAAATTCATTTTTACACTTCTATTTCCACAAGCTCTACAAACCTTTTTTCACCGAAACTATATTCTCAAATGTTTCGGAGTTTGAATAAAGTAGATCTGTTATGGAGCTGCTGAATCTAGCCCTTTTCGCTTTTTTAATCCCAAAAATCTCTATTCATAACTCTCCTGATAATATTTACACATATAGTGTTTTCTTTTCCCAGAAATTTTCTTAAAAGAATTTTCAATTCACAATTAATTTGCCATTTTTCTTCTTGAAATCAAAAACTTTCATTATTCTTTTGCGAACAGGTCCACTTTT